TCTCAATGTTGAGCTGGCTCACATTTTCCACAAGTTCAGTGGCAGTGATGTTTTTCTTCCTCTCTGGATTGAGTTTCCAGTACATGAGCAGAGCTGCTTTCCTTACACTACGCTGAAAACGAGATTCACATGCCAGGGAACACACCTCCTCTCTGTTCTCAGCTGTGATGCCTGGCACACACACACGCAAATCCATTATACATTCAGGCTAAATGTAAGTACAGAGAAAGGGATGTCATATGTTTATAATCTAGATATGATAATAAGTATCTGCTTTACCTCTTCTTTCATGCAAGCAACGCTGTAGCAGTTTCACTGCATCTTTCCGTCCGTTTTTGGCCGCCTGGAGCAGCCATGTAACGGCTGTAACCGAATTCACTTCCTCGTCTTCTTGCTCAGCTAATCTCAGGTAATATCTACCAATCTGTCCAAAAACACAGTGTAAGTTTTTCTAATTACTATAAAGATGTATAGTGTGTCTGTGTTTGTGGCACTCAGACCTCTGTCTGTGCTTTGGTGTCTCCATTCTTTGCCCTCTGTTTAAGATCATCTATGCTCAGTTCCTCTGGGATTTCCCCTAGAAAATGAAAAGAAGCCCACATAAAAAATAGCCTCATATTCATATTATGCTGTCACAACAAACACGTATAGTAGTTAGGGATGTAACGATTCACTCAACTCTCGATTCGATTCACGATTTTGATTTCACGATTTTTTTTAACAAAAAGATTTATTGCTTGGACAAAATGCTGCACATTTCTTTGTGAAATTGAAATAGAACACTATAATAATATACTAATAGGGCACTTGCATATTACTGCTCTTTTGAAATATCTTCATATAAACAAACTAAGGCTTTGTCTGTGCTCTTTCCATTTAAAATTAGAGGCAACCACTGCATTTTAATCATGATCCAAACAAAGATGCTGCATGCATGGAACATGAGCAGTTTTTAATCTAAATTAGATTGTATAATTTCGAAGTTTGAAGCAAAAACGGAATGGTTTGACTTCAGTTTTGTGATACTATACATAAAAAAATATCTGCATGAAACCGAAACAGCAGACGAGCTGAATGAGACGCAGATGCACTCTCTGCCAGCAGGCGGCGCTTAAAGCTTTTCATTGGTTTCCGCTGTAAACAAAGCAGCGCTGCACTTATGAACTTTAATATGCATTATACAGAGGCAAGATGAAAAGAAGAAATACCATCTAAACTTTTCTAAAGACAGTAAGCTCCCCTCAGACATGCATTCATATAAACTCCTACACCTAATTGAATCGCGATTTGTTTAGCATCTCAACCGATTTGAATTGTCACATATTTTAATAGATTTTCAACCGGCTCGCGGTTAATCGTTACCTCCCTAATAGTAGTAAACCAGTCCAGTTTATACTAAAGATGTTCACACAGCAGATTTTTACACACATTTGTTTTTCAAATCAGATATTTAAGACTGACTACCTACACCATCTTATTTGCAACTGTTTGCAAATCAGATCAGTGTGTTCAGGCAATGTAGTCCTGGCGTATCTATGATAATGTGTTAAATGTAGCTGAGTGTACTACTCTTCCTTGGTAGTTAAAAGCAGAAAACATAAGGAAGAAAAACATTAAGACAACATATCAGTGCTCTTCATATGGCAATTTGATGTGGTATTGTACTATTTATGACAAGTTGTGTGCATGTCAGCATTATTGTAGTATTATATATAATTATATATCATTTTAATTACAATTTTAGTCATTTATTTTAATTAGTTTAGTTTTTTAAATATTTTAAATTATAAAATAAGTAGTTAAACTTATTTCTACTAGTTACCAAGGCAACATTTTTAATTGTAAGTTTTTAATCTAATCTTTATCATTTATTTCTGATTTCAGCTTTATTTCAATAACTGAAAACTATTTTTAATATTTTTAGTTAAAGGGGTCATATGATGCGATTTCAAGTTTTCCTTTCTCTTTGGAGTGTTACAAGCTGATTGTGCATAAATAAGATCCCTGAAGTTGCAAAGACTAAAGTCTCAAAACCAAAGAGATATTCTTTATAAAAGTTAAGACTCTGCCATGCCCCCCTAAAACGGCTCGTTCTAACACGCCCCCACATATCTACCTCACTATGTGCAAATATTTGCATAATGCCGCCCAAATGTGCAGGCAAAGAAAGAAGGCGTGCTTTCAGTAACCGCAGTTAGTGTTGAAGCAGCCATGTCAGGGAGACGCTGTGTGTTTCTAGGCGAAACTTTATTTGGCCTTCCGAAAGAAGATGCATTAAGATTACTTACAACAGAACAGCAATGCATTTTATGGACGACTGTTTCGTGAACCTATGAGAGGAGGTCATTCTGACTTTGCTGTGAGAATCTGGTGCTTCTGAATTATCTACTCTTTTGTTATTAGTTTAAGTATTTGCTATTGACTGTTCAAATGCGGAGTTTTGAGCAAACAGAAGTACATCCGATCACTTCCAAACGATTAAACTGTTGATTTTTCTGTATGTCTGTGAACGCTCTTCACAGACATACATTACATAAATGAAACTACACAGCGAGTCTTCAATCACCGACTGCAACGACATTCCTTTCGCCTTTTTTTCTTACCTGTGCTCCTTTATCACTCCATCATAAGTATGTCAGAGCTGCCTTTAGTGTACCCTGACACCAGACACAGTGTAACTGAAGTAAGTGATGAGCACCCAGCGCACTGAGCAGAGGCCCGTCCGGATGATGCTTACTAAATAAACCCCCCCCACCCCCCAACTGACTGACTGACTGACTGACTGACTGAACCAGAATGTTGACATTGCCTATTCAAGTTCCTGTTGCTGCCTTCCCGGATTTTCAAAATAAAAAACTTGAGGGGAAAAAAAAAAAAAAACCAAACTAAAATCAAATAAAATAAAAATATTTATTTTGCCTAATTTTAAGACCCACAACCACACGAAAGCTGAACACCGATCAAGTAATGTAATAATGCTAAGCAAATATGAATAATTCATTCATGGATTTGAAACGAGGAAATAAGATGCAGAAATATTTTTTTCCATATGATGCAATTTCAATTTGTCCTTTCTTTGGAGTGTAACAGGCTCTTGGTGCATAAAGAAGATCTGTAAAGTAGCAAAGACTAAAGTCTCAAATCCAAAGATATTCTTTATAAATTTAAGCGTTAACCACGCTTACCTAAAAAGGCTCGTTCTAACACGCCCCCACATATCTACCTCACTATGTATGGAGGACCACGAGTGTCACGGAAATAGTAATAAAGAATTTCATTAATTATTAACTAATTGTACAATAAAAATAGACATTAATAAATGAGTTAACAAATTAATTAACTTGAAAACTAATAAATGGTTCGAATTGAAAAGGGATTTACAAAAAATAACATAAAACACTCAATAAACACAGCCTTTAAAAATGCATTCATGAATTCATTAATAAAATGAGGAATTTCAAATTGTATTTTGAAAATGCAATTTAAAAGGGGAAATAAGTAATTGGATTCACAAACTGAATTACAAATACAGGTTTTGTCAGGCAATTAAAAGGGCAATTCCTTTACCTATTTGCATTTCCATTTCCCCGCTGTCTTTCCTTTTTAAATTAGCTATTTCATCTGCTTAATCATTTAGCTTCTCCTTTTAGCCTCTCCATTTAGCATTTCTGTGACACTTTGGGCCTTGCGCGCTGGTGAAAATGCAAATTAGCCGATTGGTGGGATGGATGTAACAAGCTCTCTGATTGGCTAAAGAGGGGAGAGCCGTTAAATACTGGCGCTAAAAGCGTGTGTTGCCTCAGGAAATCTTTCTCGTCATTTGCTTTACTCTTTTAAATTAAAATGTCGAATACAGACATATCAAAAATTTTAAGGGACATAGCCAGTGAAATGGAACGCCGATTTCACCCAGAGAGTATTGCTCCGGTGGATGGACCATCAACTTCGGCACCCACCTTGGCAAGACACCCTGTTGACGGTAAAAAAAAAATGTTTACGGCTAACATTAGTGTCACTCTATGTAACGTTAGTTCATATTAATAAGCCACGTTCACACAGCAACAGAATACGGCTGTATTTTAGCATTCCCGTATTCACGGGAGTAACAACCGCATTCTATAACCGACCTCACACCTGTAAATTTGCCATTTTAAGGCTTCCCAACCACATTCTCGGTCACTGTTTTAAACCGGAGCTAACGTTACTCTCGTCAGTGTTTTGTTCTACGCTTGACTCTAATGCTCTACTCTATACCGGACGCGGTGTAGACACTGTGTTAGGTATAACAACTGCTGTAGTTTAATAAATATTTGACAGATAAACTCGTGTGCTCTGGACTTTTGTCTTGTCAAAAGATAAGACTTTTCAGTTTTATACACGTCGTCATCTCTGATATTACTCTGATCAGTGTCACTATGGTTACTGGTAAGAGAATGGGCTTGACGGGCTCCCATTGTACGTTCATACAGACAGTATTGAAGACTCTACTGTAAGATGCTGTGTGAACGGAACATCTAAAAACTCACCTGTAAGTAAATAAGGTTGTCAATCCCAAAAACTGACCTTGAATGTAGCATACAGACACAGATACAAATACAGTAAGTTGTATAAGTAACGTTACCCCCCCCCCCCCTGTTTTCATGAAGATTTCCTCAGTAAGAATCATTTGTTAAATCAATTAGAAACATTAAATTATAAATATTTGTTTGCTTAAGTGTTCAGCCCACCAAGTCACTATTCAGTAGATAAAATTACATAATCTTGTTTTCCAGCTGAAGTGTGCAGAATATTTGCACCATATTCTACTGGTAACCGCTGTGCCCCAGCTAGACGTCGGTCAAGCTGTACAAGATCATACATCTGCTTGGACAATAGTGATCAAATGGTTGTACCATCAAGAGAAGAGAAGGATATGCTCAGTGCGGCTGGCCTTGGCGAGAAAAGACTTACTTTTTTTGGTAAGTTGTTAAAGGGAATAATTATTGATAAATTGTTGATGGTCCAAATCATTACTGTACATTTTGCATAGATAGAATGGCCTTTTGGGACATTTTTGAGGAACATACACAACTGTTAAAAAGTTTGGGATCAGTAAGATTTTGTAATGTTTTTGTAATGTCCTCATCATGGCTATAACAGTGATATTGCAAAATTATTATTATTATAAATCAAAAGAACTGTTTTCTATTTAAATATATAAACTAATTTATTTTTGTGATCAAAGCTGAATTTTCAGCATCATTACTCCAGTCTTCAGTGTCACATGATCCTTCAGAAATCATTCTAATATGCTGATTTGCAGTTCATGAAACATTTCTGATTATTATCAATGTTTGAATGGTACCATTGTTTTCACAAAGACTAAGACAGCAGAACGCACATCCTGTTTGTTTTCTTTTTTTTTACCAAAGCACAATGTTTAGTTGTTATTGTGTGTGTGCACACAAATAAAATTTGTTTTAAATGATGTATTAGGCTACTCTTAAGGCCTGTTCACACCAAGAACAATAACTATAGAGATACACTCTAAAAAATGCTGGGTTGTTTCAACCCAATTTTGGGTCAAATATGGACTAACCCAACTGTTGGGGTAAAAAGTTAATTTAAAAATGTAACCAAAATTTAACCCAACAGTTGGGTTAGTCCATATTTGACCCAACATTGGGTTGAAACAACCCAGCATTTTTTTAGTGTGTACGATAAAGATATAGTTCTAAAAATCATTCTCAATATTAACCACAACTATAATGGTAAAGGCACAGAGAAACTATATCGTTGGAATCACTTTCAGAACGATTTTTTCCAGCTTATGAATGATACAAACACTCGAGATTTTAAAGCGGCAGATGCACATGCGCTTAGAATAAACAGACAATATCGTCCGCTGGTGTGAACGCTAATATCGTTATCTTTATAGTTATCGTTCTTGGTGTACGGGCCTTTAATGTAAGACCAAAAATGGAGTATTTTAAGTTAAATGCAAGTGATTGCACCAGTGTCTCCATGTTTTGCAGTAAGCGCACTATACTTCAGCTTCCACACTCTGCACAAACACTTAGATATGCGCCTAATAATAGCACACATTTATCTTGGTTAACATTAGAGCGAGCAGCCATGTAAAGTTGCTACTGACATGTTTCATGTGTTAAACCATATTTGATGTCGATGGATTATAGGCAATCGTTTGGATATCCTACCTGACATAATGTTTTTACCACAAGGACCCGCCGTTAAGGATATTTCTCTCACGGACTGAGTCGCCACTTCCTGAGGATTTTTTTTTTCACAACTAACTAACTAATAAAATTTTGGTCAACTAAGCTTCTTCTAGTCAACTAATGGTTAGTCGACTATTAGAGGGCAACCCTACTATTTTTACTGTATTTTTGATCCAATAAATGTAGCCCTTGTGAGCATTAGAGACGTATTTCAGAAACATTACACAATCTTACTGATCCCAAACCTTGCAACAGTAGTGTATATATTCTCTTCATTTGTAACCATCACTTGGTAACTACGCTTCAGGTAAGGTTAAAGATATATTTTGAGTAGAAATAATTTTAAGTGATTTTAACAAAATAATGTTGGAATTGCTCTAATGTCATTGTACAGGAGATGAAAACAGTGCAGAGGAGCTCAAAACTCACATTCTAGGAGCCTATCCAAAACTAAATGAGTGTGGGGGGTTTGAGCTTTTAAAACTGTCGGGGATGACCAGAAGCAAAAATCTTTCTCTGATACCTTGCCCAAGCATCGGGTATACAATAAAATTAATCAAGAACCAGACGAAGAGTGCCCTGATCTACATACGCCCAATGCAAAAAAATATTGCTACAACTCCTGTAAGTTTTAATGAGTGCACTGATATTTTGTACACAGGAAACAGACTGTTCTAAAATACTAGTATTGTTCTTTGTATTTTGTCTGAAGATAAATCATAACTTTAAATTCTCACAATAGGTGGAACCTGAGTCAGTTTTATCTGGACCCAAAGAAAAATGCCTGATTTGTGCTGAAGAATTTTTTTTTAAGGACCTTAAGGATCATGCCAAACGCTGCAGGTATGCACAGGCCCTTAACTGTTTCCCCCCTACATAAGCAGTTTAAAAACTTGTACTATTAGTCAGTAAATGTTAGTTAATGATCTCTGATGCATGAGCCAAGCCTGTCTGAAAAATTCTGTTCTATTCTTAACTTACTGTAACATCTCTCTGTTTTATTCATATTACACAGTATAGTGTGCCTATTAACCTTGAAATTATCTAATGTCAATGTGATGTTCATATGTACTGTGGCAGCAGCATGTTAAATATACTCTAAAAATCTGAACTATTTTAGCCAGTTGATTTATACACACGTGGATAGAATCATAACATTTTCTTACTAAATCTTCTTACCAAATCATAACATTTGGGATGCACCTAAATGAAAATTCTGGGCCGAAACTGAAAATTCTGGATGCACTTGGCTGAAACTCAAAACAGAACATGCTTTTTAAAAATGATTTATTTCTTATTTTAAATTAGTTTAAGCTCAAATACACTAATTACAAGCATAGATAAATACAGCATAAAGTTACAAATAAAGTAAGGTCTAACTGTAGTGTATTCAGGTACAGACATGTAATAATTAGGCCTAAATGTAAAATAACACTTAAGTGTTCACTCACTGTATAAATTAAATATATTAGTCTTTGTTAAAGCTATGTTTTGTTGTTTCATTAACATTAATGACTTAGCAGCAGGTATTTATAGGTTGCTGTCACTTTAAAACTGAATGCACTGATCCAATATAATGACTACATTTACATGGACATCAGTAATCTACTTATTTACCAAATTCTAAATTTACACAATACACGTGTTGCTTTTAGAATATTCCTTTTATGTTCCCGTTTTACATGTTATACAGTTTCGGGTGTTTCATTTTTAATTTACTGAAAGCTTCAAGTGCAGTTGACCACTACCGTGTCACTACTTCGACCAGAGTTTCTCTGCCATTTTTCTTTTTCTTAGGCAAAAAATTGCATTTTCGGCGGCCGAAATTTCGGTGCATCCCATGTACCTACGTATCATTGATCTACATATGTATTATGTATCAGTTGTACTTTTTGTTTTATTTTGGAGTATTTGGTTCTGAATATTCTTTACTATTTGTTTTAAAGGTCTGCAAGTGAGATCAGCAGAGCATCAACTAGCATTTGTCCTTCAAACAGCCATCCTAATCCAGCTGAAGGTCAATTATCCACAGATGCTGCAACTTTACAACTTGTTGACTTAACAGAAGATGATCTAATACTGGTAACGTGGTGTAGGCTTTTATAGATTGGAATTTGCTCATTTTTCATATCTGTCACAATAAACATATTGTATCATCAATCAAAATAATATCATTTATATTCCCAAAATTGGTACCACAGTCTTGAACTTGCATCCCCTCACACAACAGTCAAGCAACTCAATGGTTTTCTTGATGGTGTTTGGAAAAATGATCAAATTCTGTTTAATAAGTAGTCTATATATTTATTACTTACTAGGAGTCCTTGGATGAATCCATATGTTGTCAGCAGGATCTAGAGTTCCAGGAGTCTTTGCTCGAAGACCAAGAAAAGGTATGTCTTGCAAAGTTCAAAAACAGTTAAAGGGGTCATCGGATGTCCATTTTCCACAGTTTGGTATGATTCTTTAGGGTCTTACTGAAAAGTCTATAACATACTTTTGTTAAAATTTCTCAATGGTAGTGCAAAACAACACCCTTTTTAGAAATGTAACCACACTTCAGAACATTTCGGTTTGCCCTGTGTTGTGTTTGAACGAGTTGCAGGGGTGACATCACGTCACAGGGTCTCTCTCTCTCGCTCTCTCTCTCTCTCTCTATAACATACACGCCCAGATGCATTCTCAGGTACCAAAATTTGGCGCAGATTGATTTAATATGAATCGGTACTCGGTAGTACCGACGCAATTTGGTCGGTAACCTTAAAAGCACAGAGTTTGGTACCCAACCCTTGGAAGGACCCCCCTACAGGGGCCGAGTTCCACCCACCACAGTCCCAGGAAATAATGTGTGAAACAGTGCTGTTATGCTTTTGTAGATTGGAATCAAAGTCTGTTTAATAAATAGTCTACCTGTTTATTACTTGCCAGGAGTCCTTGGATGAATGGAGATGCATACGTTTTCAGCAGGATCTAGAGTTTCAGGATTCTTTGCGTGCAGACCAAGAAAAGGTATGTCTTACAGTTTATGTGGGTTTAGCTAAAAACTTTTTTCAGTAATGTTGCATCCACAATCAGAACACACACTCGGTTCTTCACCAAACTTAGGACCGTTTAAAAGAAAATTTTGCAACCGACTAGTCTAACCCCGTCCCCCAGAGTAGGGTTGGGTACCAAAACTTATATGGCACTAGGGCTGCACGATATATCGTTTCAGTATCGATATCACGATGTGTCATGCGATATCCACAATAGTCACATCGCAGGATGTGCGATGTTTAGTATACTGATTGGTATATTTATACTGATCGTTTTTTGCTCACACACAGACACCATGTCTACACCGAACGTGACAAAGCGACCGTTTCAAATCACTTTGTATCAGTTCGTCATAAATAGAGTGAGGCAGCTGTTTACTGTCGGAGATTTGTCGTGTCGCGCCGCATCTGTAGACAGCATCACTGATTATAATGGGTTCAGTATTTTGTTGCGTCGATTTTTTTTTTTTCCAAATAGAGCTATTCAAGCCTTTTTTTTCATATCGCAATATATTTCGCAGAAAAACAAAATATTGCAATGTGAGTTTTTTTCAATATCGTGCAACCCTATATGGCACCTATCTGACTGGTATGGACCGAATCAGAATGCAGATTTAACTTCAGCAACATTACCCATTATAGACATATTCAAATGAAATGAATCAATAGGCAGCGCAAGACCAATAAGTTCAAACACAATAGCCTATTATAAACAGATTTCCTCAAATAAAATTTAGTCCACATAAGTCAGCATGTTAAGATATTGTTGTTCGTTACAATGACAACCACTTGCGTGTCTGGGTTTGAACAAATGTACAAATCTCAAGAAAAATTTGCCGTGTACTAACAACATTATTTAAGCGCATTCTCTTTGGGATGTTAACATAGAAACCATTAAGTGTGCAAAGAAAATGTAAACTAGTATTTCCAAGTCGACAAGCAACAGCGGTATTGTTTAATTAACTAATCTGGTAATTTCGCACATCCCTACTTAGGACCAATACATAGTGCACACAGCAGTGAACACACACCCGGAGCAGTGGGCAGCCATTTATGTTGCAGCACCCGGGGAGCAGTTGGGAGTTCGGTGCCTTGCTCAAGGGCACCTCAGTCGTGGTATTGAAGGTGGAAGAGAGCGCTGTACATCCACTCCCCCCACCTACAATCCCTGCCGGTATGAGACTCAAACCCGCAACCTTTGAGTTACGAGTCCAACTCTCTAACCATTAGGCCACGACTTCCCCCAGTCAGATCAGACCTTGCATAAGTCATTGCATAATTTATGGTAAATGGAATTAACTGCTTTGTTTTTCATATTGATCAAAGCATGACCTGGAGAAGAAATCCTTGGAAAGAGAGGAAAGACGCAGAAAGGTATTATTATCTGTATAAGTACGATGATCTGTTTAGGGTTGGGAATTGAAGTGAAGTGGAGCGCGCGTCTGAAACGTCTTACCCATAATAGGGGCACTTTAATTAATTTTACAATCTTTCTAATCTTTGATTTAGACTAAAAACATTTTCATTTGAGTGAGAAAGCTGGCGTTTTGCCACTGCAATAGATGCATCTTACAGCATTAAGGTTAACAAATAGTAGATTAATTAATCGTTAAATTAAATGAAATTTGATCATAGAAAACAAGACATTTGAAGATTTCACCTTGGGCTTTTAACTGTGGCAAATATGTTTCACTTTCTTTTGACATGCACCAAACTATTCATTGATTTATCAAGAACAAGGTAGGTAGGTCAACTTAAAATGACAGTAATTGTTGCAGCCCTAATTTATTATTATTTTACAGTTTAATCGGCCAACATATCGGTTATCGGCTTTCAAAAATAAAGAGTTATTGGTATCGGCCAAAATTTTCATATCGGTGCATCCCTAATGTAGGCCATATATGAGAGGCAGCTGAGAATGGCTGGTATTCCTGAGGCACCTCATGGAGTTCCCCTCAGATTTAAATACCCCAGTGGCAATACCAGAACAAGAAGATTCATTTTATCTGAATCAATTCAGGTTGGTAATTTGTACACAATTTATCATTGTGATAATATAGGCTGGAAATACTGTGCAATGTTCCCTTTTTTTTGAAAATGAGTGCTAAATTCACATATTTCCTTCATGTATCATTATGTAGATATTATTTGATTTTGTGGGAGAACAAGAAGATGCTACTGAATATTTCCACATTCAAGATGCCCTTTCAGTGACAACTTTGAAAAGCAACATGTCTGGGACACTTTTAGAAAACAACGTCAGTGGGTCAAAAACACTTTACGTCCACATGGACACTTTTTGCTTCCATCGGACTGAATTCATTCCCTTTATTAATAAAATTAATGTCTTTATATTACTATCTAAATGCCATTTCCATGTTTTTGGAGAGCAGTCTAGCTGTATTCATTTGAGCTTCTGCCTGAGTCAGTAATTATGTGGTTGTAAATTGATCCTGCTAGGTTAAATGGATGGACTTAATACCAACACATTTACTTAATGCATGTTAACTCATTGCAGTTTGTCCCAGTTCTTGATTCCAACAATCACTTGATTCAACTTGATTCCTACAATCAGGCTGAACCTCCCTGTGTCAACAACCAGTTAACTTTCTCATCTTTACCATCACCCATGTGTTCAACTGGGAATGATAGTTCTTTCTCTCCTGAAGGGTATGTACTTCTTAGAAATATACTTAAAGTTACACTTAAAGTCCCCATGAAATCAAAATTAAAGTTTTTCAACTTCTAGTATAAATATGTTAGCCTTAAGGATATATAGAAACTATTTGCATTTAGGAGATATAGGCATTCAAAACTTACAGTCTCTTACTTCCAATATGGATAAATGATTTTGATGATATCAAGCTGCACTTCAGCTTCTCATCACAGGGCTCGAAATTACCTTTTTTACTTGATAGTAGGGTTGCATGATAAATTGCATGCGATATTTAATGCGCATGTTGTCAGTAAAGCCGGTTCTGTAATCAGCGGTAAATCTCCATCACGTGCATGCTTTCACATGGAGCAGCATTTACTACACAGAGCCGTTGTTCACTGACAAGCTGCGCAAATTACAAATAAAGCATAAAGCTTGAGATACTATTTTAACCTGGTGAAATGTAAATGTCACAGGGCACGAAACTATATTAGTTTATTTTCTTTTTTAAAATCCGTCTGGACCATAGAATGGGACTCTCAAAGCCTTGACATCCGGGTATCCGGTAGATAAGTCGGTAAATTCGAGTAAAATCACAGGCTTCGCTTATCCCGTGCGAATGGACCACACGAAATTCAGAGGTGGGGGGTTAATTTCAAAATCACACAAGGTCCCCAGATAATACTAATCCCGTGCGAATAGGGCTTTAGACTATCAGAAATGTCTTGAGTATATTTAGCCTATATTTGTACTCAGTCCTTTGATCAAGATATACATAAAAGTATAATTAATTTTTCTGTGCTTGACTTGTAGTTGTCTATTCTTTTGATTGTGTAGCCTATCAAAGATTTTTTTATAAAAGACTATTTTATAAACTTACATTATGTAAAAATGTATAAAGAAAATGGATATGTTCCTAATTCATGTTTTTTACTTGTTTTTTTTTTTTATTCCTGTACAGGACTGACCTTAGAACCATTTTGAAACAACTTGGGGAGAAGATTGATCACAGTTCATGTCCAACTAGCAATCACATCAACATATGCAGAGACTACACTGGAAATGTTCACAACATATTGAGGAGTACACTTCAGGCCTTCAGAAGGCGACGTTTCAATCCTGAGGCCAGATTGGATGTAGTTTTTGTTGATGGTGAACAAACACCTGAAGGTGCAGTAGATGGTGGTGGGCCCACTCGCGAGTATTTAAGGTTGCTGATGAAGGCTATTCAGCAGTCCAGCATATTTGAAGGAACAGAGACGGATAAGAGACTGACCCTCGACACTCATGGTTATTTCTAAATACTGTATATTCACTGTTACCAGAACTATCTGTTTTATAATAAGAGTGGCATATCTACAGAGATAATTACTGGGATTTCTCAAGAGATTTAGCATTGGAAGTTCTATAATAGTAATTCGATATATTCTGTTTACAGCCCTGGAAGGAAAATTCTACATGCAGATAGCACGGATGATATCTGTGTGTGTAATTCATGGAGGTGTGGCACCGAATTTCTTCTCAGAGAGGTTGTTCAATCAGGTTTGTGGTAAACCTACTCACCCTGCAACATTAGAGGAAGTGAGTGATGTCACATTCAAGGATAAGCTCTTGAAGGTGAGTCTTACTTTGTAAGTGGACACTAATATCAGCAAATAAACCTGCCTTTCACTACGTTGCTACCATTATAATTCACACATTTAAAGCAGTGATTACTCCACTTTTTTAGATTAAAGAAGCAACAACTGTTGAAGATGCAACAGAGGAGGCAGAGGACAGTCTTGCCATTGTTGGGGCTTGGAGAAGCATTACAACACTGAAGCAGAGGGATGCCCTGGTGCAGTCTGCTCTTGACTTTTTTGTTGAGGGCAGATTAAATGTCGCATTACAACAGTGAGTATTCATTTACACACACATTAATGAACGAAGCACAATAATGTCTGCTATTTGCAAGCACTGAAATATCAGTCAATAACACTTCGGGTTGGGATTTTCTCCAACCTCATTTAGACACACCTGAACCAGCTAATTAAGCTCCTACAAAGCATAGAAACTTCCCAGCAGGTCTGTTGAGGCAAGTTGGAACTAAACTCTGCAGGACACCGGCCCTCCAGGACCGAGTTTGGGCACCCCTGTACTGTACAAATCAGTCAAGTGCTCATACTTTTGACAAAAAGTTGCCTTGATCTCAGATGACCCAGGATCAGCTTGTAGCCAGCGCTGGGGAAACGGCGATGAATTTCAGACACAATCACGTCCAACTCTTCGTCACTTATACTGTTGTTCAAGTCATCGCGTCTGAGTGCACAGAAAAAACGTAAATTATATTGACTAATTTGTACTAATTTAATAATCTAATTAAAAAGTACCAAACGCAATTGCTTCAGACTCAAGTTTTTTGTCTATTAATATCAGCTAGCTATTTTTTTTCATAAGTAAATGCATTGTTTATTAATTTTTATTTAGGCTACATTTTGATGTTAATGTTATTTATTTATTTTTCGTTCCTAATTGTCCTCATTCTATTTTTCCAAGAGTACAATATCCGTCTAATTATGCTACAAAATCATAGCAAAATCTGACAGGGTAGCACAATCGTCAGAACACCTGCCCAGGTCAGGGTGTGGGCTAAATAAGAGTTAGGGGTTTCTGTTGCATGCCTTCGGTCAGTGAAAAATTATATTTTTAAGGACAGCCTGCATCGGGTGACAACACTACTGTACAGCAGTGTTTCTTACCTTATTCCCCAACGTGCAATCCTGCGCTGGAGAGTTTTCAAAGACACACCAAAGCGTTTTGCGATCTCCCTGCGCGAGATTCCAAGGGAGATGTGCTGCTGTAACTTGTCTCTTTGTATGTCAATGCAGTGCTGAATCTCTGAGATGTTACCCCTTTGGCGAATTATATGCTCCACCTCATCAAACTTGGCCCAAACAGTGTCCTCCAAATGCCGACTGGATGCGTCTCTGGACTTTTGGTAGTACCTAGGATAGCAAAGTCCACTAAAGGAGGTAGAGCTTTTTCGCATTTGGCTCCCAAACTCTGGAATAGCCTTCCTGATACCGTTCGGGGTTCAGACACACTCTCTCTGTTTAAATCTAGATTAAAGACACATCTCTTTGGCCAAGCATTCAAATAATGCATCTCATAATATTTTACTGCAGTCATAATCTTTTTACTGCAGTTATATCTACACATTATTACATTATTATTCGTTAGTTTGGGTTAAACAAATCATTTTTGCTTGGTTGGAACAGCAGCTACGCTAATTATTTGTTTCTCTGTTTCTGTAACTAGGATTTACACAAGCTTCAGTCTGGATCCAG